CCAAAGTACACTTCTGCGCTGAAAAACATCCATCAGAATTTGTTTCGCTCATTAAAAAAACATATTAATTTTCAATATTTTATCCCCACTAGAATGTCAATACAGTACCCGTTTGATTTTGGCAACAAACCGAAAATTTAGCAGTGCCAAAATCTAAAACCGTTGAAATTTAATTTACGATTTCGTTGATTTATGACATAAACCTTATTAAAAACATTAGTTTACAAATAAAAGTAAAAAAGTAGAAGGGTATGTGCCTAAGGGCACGAACGGAAGCTTGACGTAGGACCGCTAGTGGACGGAACAAATGAGAAGAGCATTTATTTATTTTAATTGATCGATCATCTATAATCTTAAATCTTTCCGTTGTTGAATTGTAGGCGTACCAAATTTGTAGTAATTTTTTTCAAAGAGAAAGTTGATGAAGAGAATCGATCAAAATCACTTGCATCCTTGCTGGTTGCAAGATTACAACTCTGGAGAGCATTTCGTGTGGTCGTTGGGGACGTGTCGTTCTGAATATGGACAAACAGGCTCAGATAAATTCTATTCGTACTCTTTACTTTAATAAGCATGTTGGGCCTGAAAAGGGCCGTTTTGTTGCCAAAGTTGGTGATGATTTAACCTTCGAAACCGTACATAGTGCGTCTGTCGCTTCAAAGCGTAAATGACATCCTTGGCCGCTTACGTTTGGCGTGTTTAGTGTAGGTGACAGCATCACGGACCTCATTTTCAGTAACACCTTCAGCACACCTCGTAGATTAGACCGGAGTACGTTTGAAACCACCACGGCGAACCAGATGGCGGTTATTACGAAGAACCTTGCGATGACGTTTGCCGCCTTCTTTACCAAGACCTTTTCCTCCTTTGCCACGACCGGTCATTGTTGCTTGTTGGGTAGAAGAGTGGACTACCTAACCTTCCACCAGCATCCTACTGCTGCTATCAATGCTTCTGCTGCCTGCTCACCACGCCGTCCGAAGCGTAAATGAGTTGGGGCTTTTTTTTTAGTTTAAATGATCTTTATTTTAGTTTAACTTGGACGATTACCATATAAAATTTTTTTACTAAGTGATTTAATTGCTTTCTTCATCTTTAGGTATGGGCAAAATTTAAAATTTGTTTTACAGGATTAGTCCTAGACTTAGTACACGGTCGACCACCTTGGTGGGATTGGTTTGTTTTGTTTTTAGAATTTGAAGAGAAACTACTTAATACTACTATTTACAGCTTAAAACTAACCTACTCTACTATATACACTTAACCTACTATGTACAAATTGCTTATTAAAGCATGTTCAGAAAGATTGCATTTTTGAATAAATTTAGTTGTCATATCATCAATTTTGGAATCTACTTTGGGAATTTCTGCCTCTTGATGGAGGTCTGCTATTCTTGTGTCGAATGGACGATCTAGGATCATCCTCAACACTCTATTCTGTGCAACCTGGATTTTGTTCCTGTGGGTCTGAGCGCACGATTCCCACACCGGGGCGGCATATAAGATCGCGGGGGCTATGATCTGTTTGTAAACAGCCAGTTTGTTTTGCCTTGAGAGGCGGGATCTGCGGCAAATGAGCGGATACAAACACCTAACCAAGGCGGAGCACTTAACTAGGGTTTTCTCTATGTGCGAGCGGAACAGGAGCTTCTCATCGAACAACATCCCGAGATAAGTAACATCAGTGGACCACTCGACCCTTGTACCATCCATTATTACGGTACAGGAGGGAGACGGTTTAAGTTTTAATGATTGTCTGTGAAGGAACATGATCGCTTGGGTTTTTGAGGCGTTGATTTTGATTTTCCACGTGGTGGCATAATCAGTAAAGGTGTCAAGGCATCGTTGGAGCTTGTTCGTAATTTCAATCCTACCTTTGACGGCTATCGCGGTGTCATCTGCAAACAGAAAGAACACGCAACCGTCTCCTAGAGGAGGGATGTCCGACGTGTAGATGCTGTAAAGCAGTGGTCCCAGCAGACTCCCTTGCGGAACACCTGCTGGGATCGGAAATTGTCCCGAAAGGGAACTATTCAACGACACCCTGAACGACCTTTGCTGGAGATAGTTACGGGTGATTTTCACAAGGTATGGTGGAAAGTTGGAGTTACAAAGCTTGTATATAAGTCCGTCGTGCCAGACATTGTCAAACGCCTTTTCGACGTCTAACAAGGCCATGGCTGTGGACTTGGATACAGCTTTGTTACTCCGGATGTTATTCATCACCCGCACTAGCTGATGATTGGTGGAATGCCCCTTACGGAACCCGAACTGTTCCGGAAGAAGAATGTCATGTTCCTCCACAAACTTGTTTAGTCGGCTGAGGATCAATTTTTCGAACAGCTTGCTCAGCGCTGAGAGCAGGCTAATCGGTCTGTAGCTTGACGGTAGTGAAGGGTCTTTCCCAGGTTTGCGGATCGGGATGATTTTTGCCACCTTCCAGATGCTTGGAAAGTAGTGCAGCTCCAAGCATCTGTTGAAGGTGGCAGCTAGCAGCGAGTGCACCCTCGGGCTGAGATTTTTCAACGCTAGGTTGAATATTCCGTCAAACCCGGGAGCCTTCATGTTCTTACTGTATTTCAGCGCTGAGCAAATTTGTTCCTCTGTAATCCGTTCTTCTGGAGGGACGGCACAAGGGGAGGCATCTAACGTCAGGACGCACTGCGCAACCTGGTTCTCGAGTGGACTTGGGATTTTAGAGCCAAGCAAATGCGACTGGGCAATGTGCTCCCCAATCGCATTGGCCTTCTCTTCGTTGGTGATAAGCCGTTCGTCATTGACTCTAAGTGGTGGAATGGGCTTGGGGTGAGACTTCAGCACCTTGGCAACCGTCCGAAGCGTAAATGAGTAGGGGCTAGATAGCAGCGCTCTTTTTTATCTTTACAGGTTAAAACAGAATGATGTGCAACCAAGTGGTACTCGATTATGACGACTGGGTTTGGGAAGAACGTTTATTTCATGAAAACAGTGATAAAATTATCACTTCTTATTTGTACATTGAACAATGCTCGACTTCACCACTTTTTCAATAGTTTATTGTTAGTGTTATTGTTGGTGATAAAAATATTGAAATTGGTCCAGTGTCAGCTGAGTTATTAACGTTCAAAATCTTTCATAATTTTGTTACATGCTCCATTTTCGATTTTCACCAAATGTACTCCCATATAGAAATCACAGACGTAGTCCTCCGTCAAAAACTTCGATGTTTCTTATGTAAAACCGTGCAATTAATTCAAAAAGTAAAAAAAGTCTCCGTAGGATAGTTTTCTACATACAGCTTAGAAACGGTATTTTACTTTAAAAAAGTTTGTTTTTTAAATATAAATATCTCCGGCTGTAATGAAGCTACTTAAAATATTTTAACACCAAATTAAAGGCGAGGACATTATTTTTGAGTTAAATAAGTGGTAGTGTTTTAAATAAATAGTTTGTTCATTTTTTTTTCTATGTTTTGCATGTTTATAGGAATAATTGGATTTTAGGTAGGTTTTAAATCAAGATAATTTTTTTTGTATTGTTTGTGCCAAAAATACCACTAATCTTACTGAAAAACAAAGTTGTAATAATCGAAAGAAAATTTTCTTACCATTAATTTGGCGTTTACATAATTGATATAGCTTCATTGCAACCGGAGATATTTGTATTTTAGTAACACATTTTTTTTTTTTGAGTGAAGTTTCATTTTGTAGCTGTATCTATAAAACTGTCTTAATTAGATTTTTTCTGACTACATTTTTGGATTCAACACACAATTTTACATGGGAAATGACCACTATCGTACAATGTTTAAATATTCTGTAAATTAGTGTAATTAATCTATTATAAAAAAAATATATGTACAAGAAGCAAAAAAACATTTTTTTCAAAATCCATTTTGTTTTGGCACGGTGTCAAAATCGAGCCCGTGCCAAAAGCGAACGGTTTTGTGGTGTTTTGCCAAAATTGAACCATGCCAAAATCGAACGAGTATTGTAACAAAAATTTACATTTCGAACATTCACATTTTTCTGATCTTAGTTGAAATATAAAGGAATTCAACTCTTATTTACGGTATTTAAAGTATTTAAAGAATGTAGGAATCTATTCATTTGAAATTAATTTTACATATATCTGTATTTTTCAGAACAGTGAAAAGCTAATTGAATTCTCATAAAAAAAAACTATATAAATTTGCATGAAGGTGTAAATTTCAGCTGGAATTAATTGAATTACTGATCGTTAAACGTGATATTTTTTATTTAAAAACCTGCTCCAGTTAGTAGTTGAAAATAACAACATATTTTTATCAGAATATGTAAAATGTAGCATTATATTGAGAATGGTATCTTTTTATGCTTACTGGCATGAGCTAAAATAAACCAGAGACATTATTTTCTGCACAAGAGTCTACTTTAGTGCAAAATGCGCAATATGAAGGTCCAATGGCGGTTGATATATTTTTTTTTTAAATGTCATGAATTTACCACTAAAATTAGTAATCACATTAAACTTGTCACTATATGATAGGCCAAAAGCGGAGGAGTGATGATTGTTTAACGATTGAAAACAAGCTGATTGAATATTTGAAAATAAATGTGTGTTCGTTTGTAATAACGTCTATGGTACTTACTCGTAGGAGTTTAAATAATAGAATATAATGAAGAACAGCATGAATAATAACGCAAATTTAAGCATACAAGCTTTAAAGCCACACAGCTGTCCTACCAGGCGCAACTGTTTTCAGCAAGCTAGTGCAATCAAACAAAACTTAAAAAGCTCTTCCTCTATCAGGGTTCGTTTCCAATGAGCACCATCCAAGCGAATCTGGCAAAGCTGCTGTTCAAAGTACCCATTTTAAAACCAACACCACCAAAGCAAAGCTTTCATTCATAAAAAACCACCGCACCGAATCAATGAACGAATGTAAACAACAACAGCACCACGATCACGCTGCTCTACTCGTTGCGCTTGTGCCCGCACCGATGCTCAAGTTCGAAGCGATTAAAACAAACAACCGCCGGTGCAGTTCATTCACACATCGTGACTTTTATTTTTTAGCTCCGCCGGTTTGCTCTATATTTACAGTTCAAGCGTAAGTGCTCGCTCAGATCGGTCGATCAAATGATTCACTTGTTGATTATGCCTAATATCCCTAGTACTTGTATCCCGATTGTGGGCTGAACGATCCACTTCCGGAGGGGCGTCCAGTTCCCGGTCGTGCATTGGCCAGTGGTCCTCCAGATGGATAGCCGGCTCCAGAGCCGCCACCCGTTGGTCCCGATCCTGGATAACCACCGGCACCACCAGCTCCTCCATGTCCTCCAGCACCACCTCCATGTCCTCCGGAACCACCGGCACCACCTCCAGCAGCGGCAGCACTAGCATGGGCAGCAGCGTGCGCCTGTTGAGCCTTCAACACTTCCTCCGGGATTGGTGGTGGAGTTGGCAGATGATCTCCCTGAGGTTGGAACCCATTTTCGTCGGCAACGTAGGTCAACGTGATGACCTGACCTTCGGGTGAGGTATACGAGTACGATCCCTGGACGGATTGGATTTCATTTTCCGATCCCTTGTTCTTGAGTTCACCCTCTTCCTGAGCTTTAATTCCATTTCCAGTTTCATAACTGTGAAATAAAAAACATGAATGGTTAATTTTTAGGCTGTAACGTTTTTGCAAACGGGACTCTCACCTGAATTTGTAACTACCGTCTCCATTGTTCACATTTTCATAGGAAATGATCTCGATTGGAGGACCAGCTGGGGCTGCTGGGGCGCCAGCACCAGAACCTCCAAATCCACTGGATGGAGCTCCACCTCCAAAGCCACCAGATGGTGCACCTCCTCCGAATGCGGAAGGAGCGCCTCCGCCAAATCCTCCGGATGGGGGTCCATAAGCAGTCGATGGTCGTTGTGGAGCACCTGTTGAAAAGAGATTAATTAACCTTTCAACAACCGACTGGAAAATTTAATCTTCTTCTGCCTACCTCCCGCTCCTCCAGGCCGTCCACCGAATCCTCCGGCACCACCTCCTCCGGACGGCCTACCTCCCAGTGCGGGAGCCGTTAGTCCGGGACCACCTCCAGCCGATGCAGCTCCCGGTGGAGGCAGGTAGTTGTTGTCCAATCGAGCACACGAACATACCGCCACAAGGGTACTGAGTAAGATCTGCAATAAAACATAATCGAAACAACAATTCATTTCAATGGCTTATTCTGATGTCTTCGAATGAGAACGGCAACGAACAACCCAAAAGCGGTCACGATGAAATGAAACCGTGTGTGATACCGATCTACACTCAGGAGATGCGCCACAAAGTGCATTTAACCGAACAACAACGATTGTGACTATTTAGTTTCTCACGCGAGCCCTCTGTTCTGCAGAAGTTGCCTCTTATCGATCAGATGGAACACTTATTTCTATTAGTTGGTACCTATACAGTCGGATGCTGGTGGCAAATAGTACCTCGAAGCCCGGCAGAATTTGCGCAACAATTCATGTAGCTCAAATTGAACTACTTACCCTACCGTGTGATGGGTTCCGAACCGTTAGTCATATCTTAACAGCTGGCGTGCTTGGGAGAGCCCAAACACGAGCATAGAATCATCTTTATAGTTTGCAGCACTGGGAGCTGCAGCTGATGCGAATGACCTTTCAAGGGGGTGAAATTGGTCTATCGCGATCTTGGTGAATTAGTATTATTTATGTTATGGCTTGATTTGGTAGCTCACGTTCGCTGGGTGGCGGTGGTGAAATAGAATATTGATTACCTTCCTAGAAGGGATAGTTGCAGTGGTTTTCCGCTATTGTCAGTCTCGTTTTTACCCAGCGAGCCAGGCTTTGCACCAACTGACACTTCATCTCTACTTTCAATTTTGTATTTTTGAGCGTAGAAGTGCTACTGGGATAAATACGTGCCATAAATACGTATTTTGCGCACAGAAGGAATAAAGTTTGAAACTGTTTTAGACATTTTGAAAATGAATCAATCGAGATCCGAGGCAATTTTTAAGATTTTATGAAGATTACGAGATTTAATGCAAATTTCAAAATCATGAGTCAGATTCCTCAGGTTCTGGAAAAAGAAAATGTTATAGGGCTGTAGAAAAATTTAACCATAATAAAACAATAATCCACTTGAAATGTTTTCCAAGATCCCAGATTTGAAAGCAAATATGAATATAATGGATCTTAGAAAATTTTCAAAGTTCATGAGCTCGAAGAAAATATTCATGATTCTGGAATTTCGTGGCATTACCATGAGAATTTCTTAAGAATTTTAAGGTTAACTTAAAAGGAATTCTAAGGAGTATTCTAAGAGAGATCTGACCTGAATTCCACTATAGTTTTGAAGAGAACTTCCAATGAAGTCTATGGAATGCTTCCAAGGTAATTCTGAGAACCTTTTGATTCCTGATAAATGCTCAGATGCTTAAATTTATTTCTGAGTATATTTCCAACGTTAGAAAATAATTCAAAATAATATTCAAGCAACATTTCTAAGCAAATGTGAAAATAATTCCTAGTGAGTTCTGAGAGTGAGTTGATAAAAGCATGAATCCATGAGAGAAGAGGAGAAAAATTAACGAATTCCTAGGAATATTGGCTAGGATTTAAAAATTTGACCATGCTTCTGCGTTAATTTTCCTTCAGATGTCACTGCTGTTACTATTGCTGACTTCTAAAGAAAATTACGCATACACTTAGTTCTGTTAATTGCTAACAGAGGGCAGTGTGGTAAAAACACGAATTCTTCTTCTTCTTCTTCTTCTTCTTCTTCTTCTTATTCTTCTCATTTATAATCATCTTCACTTTTCAAGCTTATTGCTAATCGCATATTAGCTTATTGTGTGCTCTCAACATAGTGTTCTAGATGCACTTCTACAGCTATTAATTGAGAGTTTTCGATGCCTGCACCATTTTTGCATTAGTATAATTTTGTGACAAGTACAATCATACCAACCGTTGGAAACTAACAATTTTAAATTGGCTCACTACTTGACTAGCCTATTGGTCCCAAGCAAATCGATTAACGTACCCCATCCTAGTTGAAATTCTAGTACTACACTATGCTTGTTTTGATTCGCTATAAAAGTGTTAATCGATACTTGGGACCGAAGATAGTATCAGAACTGAGCCAAAAAGTTGAGCACGTTTCTTCGGGACCTTCTGGTCTTAGAGTTACCTCTATACCATACCATACTCTATGCCCAGGGAAGTCAAGAAATTTTCCAACCCAACAAATTCCTAGACCGGACCGAGAATCGAACCCAGCCACCCCCAGCATGGTCTTGCTTTGTAGCTGCAGAGCTAAGAGACGTCCATAATAACATGTATGGTACCTCTATATGTGCAGTTAGATTAACATCCGGAGTTCCGCCTTTCATATACTTTTCACGACAAAAATGCTTGCCAAGCTCCGCCCCTGAATGGGAAATCTAATTGCATAAACAAGAGTTCCAACAATGTTTCAGGTCTAGGTACTATATGTTGTAGTCGGTGAAAGGGAAATCACATATCGTGTGGCATCAATTTACATGGCATGTTGAGAGATTGAGCTCACGAGAGAAAATTTTCACTCATGGATTTGAATTTGTTGGCTCTCTTTTGACTGGTAGTAAAAAAAAACATATGGGCAAATCAAGGGTTAGCACACCAATCTTGGGTCATCTTTTTTGTCAGTGTGCCGCAGGTGCGCCGATTGTGTCGGTAGTAGAGCAGGCTGCGATTATTTGTAAAATACCCAACCTGACAACCTGTATTTCTGACACCTTGAATGTTTTGGTTTGAAACCGCAAGGATAAATCGGTCTAGTTGCAACCAAGGAGAAATGCAATGTCTACATCGGTTGTAGATGATGCTCAAAATCATAATATCAGTTCGCCAGCCGATTGAATGCAGGAAGCGGCGGGTGTGCGAATTTTTTCTTGTGTTCATAAGATGATAAAAGTCATTTGTATTAGGGTTATGTAATGCAAACCAGATACCTAACCTTTAGTGATGTGAAAAGCAACGGTCTATCAGCTTCCGGAAAGAGTAATTGTTGAAGACCGAATGTAGAGGATGATGAGTATGACTTCTGTAGTTTGTTTTAAATGAGTTGCAGCATTATTTGAATTCAGGGTACTAATGGAGTCTGATTAACTGACTCTTTCTCTTGAGCTCACGCTAGAACCTACATTACGGATTTCAATCTATAAGTGAACCGAGAAGTTAACTGCTGGTTTGAGTTCCTCTGGCATATTCAATTAGAGGATGTTCCTGAATATGCAGTCAAACAACACGTAATGTTGTGAACAGCTTCAATGACAGTTGTCCAGCAGTGCTCCAATTCTATTAACAACAATCCAATGCCTACGCGATTGTGCTGAAGATGTGCCGATGGATGTGCCGATGGATGTGCCCATGCTTGGCATGCACAGTTGTACACACCAACTGCTCATTTGTTAATATCTTTTCACTCAGTTGAAATTTGTTTTTCTTTGAAGTAATTGATAGATTAAGATCAAAGTTTACTATAGATATGCAAAGAGTAGGTAAATATTAATATTTGAATCAACACCAATGAATTTTTACACTTAAAGTCTAAGATGTGCTGTGAGCATTTCTCACATCATTTTTGCAACACAAAAACCAATACAGTTTGTTACTATAATTAAAATAAACTTTTTTACATATCTATAACAAGCTTAAATTCTATTCTATCAACTGCTTCAAACAGAGCTATGTTGCGTCAACTGTGTGCAAAGTTATTAGCAAATGAGCAAAACTGTGTATGCCAAGCATGTATGTGCCCAAGCTGTGCCGAATCTAATTTCGGCACAATGTGCTGCGTGACTGGGGAAAATACTGGTTCTATTTAATAGTATGGTGGAGGCACCATATTTTAATCGGTTCCAAAATCGGTGCACTCAATAATGTTCGACTATTTAAATCATTATTTTTGAAATGTTACTTCTGAAAGTATTAATTCCAGTGCTCTAGGGATAATGGTGTAACAAAACATGTTGTGTAAACATGTTGTCAAAATCGGGATGCGTTAAAAAAAGAAGAGCGTGTCATCTATAGGAACTCGTCAAATATGGTGCTGGCACAGTAGCTTGTTTATCAATAATATATGTGAATAAGAAAATGAAGTCCTTGAGTGATTTCATTAAGATGACGTTCTCTATTTTTGACCTCAATATGCATCGAATGAGAATTTTTCCCACTTCTTTCAAGTTCTATACGAGCGGAAGAGCGCCATCTCTGCGGAAATCGCCCTCATGATATGATTCATTGTGAATTTTAATTTTGAGGCGAATGTTAAAAGCATTCTGAAGATAAATCCAAGGGAGTTGATAATTTCCAAAAATCCCATTCCATTGATGTTCTGAGGATGAATCCAAATTTAATTACAGGTGAATTCCAAAAGAATTCTGAGGAGATTTCCAAGGGAATTCTTAAGAGAGCCTGAAATGAATTCCATGGAGTATACCAAAGCAAGTCTTGTGAGTGGGGGGGGGGGGGAACTTAAAGTGAATTTAAATGAGAATTCTGAAGAAAATTTTGAGGAATTAGGAATTCAGATTTCACAAGTAAGTTAAGGAATCATGTGTATCTTTGTAGGAATACTAACAAAACGCTGAGGAAAATTTTAAAAGAATCAGAAGTTTACTGAGGAGAATTTTTTGGTTATTTCACTACAATACAGAATTGAAATAGTTTTCTAAAGAAAATTTCTAGAGTGTTTGAAGACAATTATTTGAGTCCCGTGGACTCCCGGTAATCTGACCTCAACATTTTTAAAGTTGAACCCCGCTAATCTGCACGCCATGCAAACTAAAAATTGCTCAAACGTCATTACCCAAGTAACAATGAAAGCTTTATTGAGGTTTTAAGCATACTACAAGTCTAAATCTTGGTGTACAGAACCCTCATAACACCCAAATTGTTACTTAGGTTAGCACATGGAATGGAGTAAAAAAAAAATACAATGATGTAAAACGAAACGCAGAGTCAAAACAAGCAAATAAGGCTACCAGAAACTTACTTTTCTGAAAGTCCATAGGGTTACTAGAAGTTCAACATAAAAGTGAACCCCGTTTTGCATGAAGTGTTGTTTAGATAAACGGGGGCCATGGTATTATCAAAGAGAGTTGGAGTCCCAAGATGGATTTCTTATATGG